TGGAAATTAATGCATTTCGTTAACAGAAATGCCTAATAAATTAATCTAATCAATGGCATGTGGTCTGAAGCAGGACAACTTCCATGAGACGCCTCCATAATTAAGATCAGAAATTACTTTTAATTATTAATAGGGAGAGTAAAAAAAATGGCGCACGTTCATTGTTATTTCTCTTGTAATAAACTGGGCGTTGAGTGGAAACTGTAATAATTGATCACCGTTACAAAATAGTGATGAAACCGCCATAGCTTCTTATCCTAGAATAATTATACTTGCCCCTCCCTTCGTTAGTTCGCACGACCGCTACGGCTTGCCAATAGCTCGTGAATAAGAGATATTCTGCGTGCAAAGACAAGCCACACCAGAGACGCTGCTTGGTTTCACTGAAAAAAAGAAAAAAAAAACACGAAAGAAAGAAAGATGAAATAATGGACAATTCCGTTTTCATCGCGTGTAAAGACAAAAATAAACAAAGACCCTACTTGGTTTCACAGGGGAAAATGCAAGAAAAAAGGGAGAATAGATTAACGTCTGTTGCAGAGAAATGGAAAAAGTTGTCAGTTTCAAATTTTTTTCATTTGTACCCCCTTACTTCTTAAAATAATGATTAGCATTCATATTATGCTAGTTATTGTAATATTTTGTTAAAGTTGTTAAGCTCAAATAACGATGCGACGGGAGAATTTCTACGGATATTTTACTGTCGTAGAACTCGCCATGAGTTTATTCAATCATTAACTTAGGAATTAAGATTAGTCAGAAAACTCAAACAGGAAAATCCTGAAATTATTACGGGTCTTTCTAGTTTTGTTAAGTTTGTTAAGCTCAAATATTTAACGATGCGATAGGGGAATTTCTACGGATATTTTATTGTCGTAGAACTCGCTATCAGTTTATTCAATCATTAACTGAAGAATTAAGATTCACTAGAAATTTGAAATAGGAAAACCGTGGAATTATTATTGGTCTTTCTCGTTTTGTTAAAGTTGATAAGCTCAAATATTTAACGATTTGATAGGGGAATTTTTACAGATATTTTATTGTCGTAGAACTCACCATGAGTTTATTCAATCATTAACTGAAGAATTAAGATTCATCAGAAATTTGAAATAGGAAAACCGTGAAATTATTACGGGTCTTTCTAGTTTTGTTAAGGTTGTTAAGCTCAAATATTTAACGATTTGATAGGCGAATTTCTACTGATATTTTATTGTCATAGAACTCGCCATGAGTTCATTCAATCTCTAACAGAATCATTATGATTCATCAGAAGGGAAAAGAGGAATACCAAGAAAATTTCAGGTGTTAAAACGAGTTCAAACAAATTTACAGAGAAAATAACAGGTAATTCTGATAGTGTGAATATCCGTTTACATAAAAGAAACATTCGGCATTCATTGACTGAGCAGTTAGCCTGACTCTCGATTGAAATTCATAAAATATTTCTCTGAAAACCGTTTTTTCATGGAAATAGCCTTCTAAAGTATACACTTTTTACTGATTTCATGATACAAGGTTCAATAAAAATTTAAAAATATGAAAGCTGACCGTTATACAGTAATAAGACACATCGAGTTTATTTATTTTTTTTTATAATGCGCAGATAATGCCAAATATGTATTTGAAGAACATTCTCGTCGTCTCGCCTTATATCTCCAAGGTTCTAATCCTGTATTTGGTCATAAATCGTTGACTCATTTCTGGTTATGGCAAACGTAAGATTAACCGTTTCCATAGACTGAACATTCGACATTCATTATCCGAAAAGTCCGCGATATCCATTTTAGATGTTGCCACACTTGGAAGTCTTCAAGTGACGTGGTTCTATTATTTGGCAAAGGTGCAATGAGCCATTTTCTTCTAAGGAAACATTCTTTACTCCATTGGCATCAAGCTGCGATCAAAGTGTAGTATCAGTTGTCCTCATCTCTAAAGATAATGGTAATATTAGCCATTTTCTTATAAGGAAGCATTCTTCCCTCCCTGGACATTAAGCTGCGATCAAAGTGTAGTATCAGTTCTCCTCATCTCTAAAGATAATGGTAATATTAGCCATTTTCTAATAAGGAAACATACTTCACTCCCTAGACATCAGGCTGCGATCAAAGTGTAGTATCAGTTCTCCTCATCTTTAAAGATAATGGTAATATTAGTCATTTTCTTATAAGGAAATATTCTTCACTCCCTGGATATCAGGCTGCGATCAAACTGCTACTCGATGAATAACATCTCTAATGGTAATGGTAATATTAGCCATTTACTTACAGGGAAGCATTCGGCTTTCATCAACTGAGCAGCCAATTCTGCTATCGGGTGAATTTTATAAAATATTTCTTTTAAAATAGTATTTCATGAAAATAGGCTTTTCAAGACCAATGTCTCTTCTAGAACTGATTTGTGTTTCCTTCCTAAGCTTTTGTTCAGGGCAGTATGGAAAGTCAACATTTTAATTATACCATTATTTTAACTACTATTTAAATATGCTATCCATTTTAGTTGTTGAGGCTGTAGGAAGTCTTCGAGGGACGTGATTTTTCTTATTTGGTAAAGCTTGTTGTTCTGGTTTCGTAATATTAGCATAAAAAAAAACATTGAAGTATATTTTAAAAGATGAAAGCTGAACGTCATGTAATATTATGACACATCAACTTTTATATAAAGGTCAGAATGCCAAAAATCTATTTTAGGATATATTCTCGTAGCCCATAATTATATCTGAAAGGATTTGAACCTGATATTGTCCTCATGCTTCTTTGACTCATATATTTTAAAGATGAAAGCTGATCATAATGTACTATTATGACACATCGACTTGTATATAATGGTCAGAAATGCCAAAAATGTATTTCAAGAATATTCTTCAAGTATATTATAATCATTGACTCATATATAAGTTATGTCAAACAAGTGACTATTGTACTCATATTTGTCGCCATATTTATTACAACGTCTCTGTGGGATGAGGTTGATATCATAGACAAAGAACACCATTGGAAAATTCGTATACTTAAGGAATCAGCAAATATACTAGGCCACAAAAATCTGCAGAGCCGACCAAGCATAGAAATGAATACAATATGGGAACCAGTAATAAGGAGTGCCAGAGAAAAGCAATAATAACAACTAAAGTTGCAATATGGGTTCTCGTAAAAACATGCAATGATAACAGCAAAAAATTGCAATATGAGCACTGGTAAAAAAAAGGGAATGCTGAAAACATTAGGTTTATAATACCCATACATTCATACACAGGATACATGGCACAGTGGATAAAGGCGTTAGTTCGATCCAGTGACAGGACCCAAAGAGTGTGAGTTCAATACCCGGTTAAGGCAGTGGAGAACTTATAGAGAGGAATTAACAGGACATAACTAACAACTGACATCCATTAAACATGGCATGTGGAACTAGAACGAAATAAAGTCCGAATAATGTAAATAGTGCACATAATACCTCATCTCAGAAATATAGATAGATATAAAAGAAGGCCGGAAAACTGTAACGGCCGAAACGTTGTAATAAATATGGCGACAAAGATGAGCTCAATAAATTTAATCTCAGAAATATATTTGGAAATCTTTTAAACTGATTCACCTTGTTCAGTTGAAAGGCATATATATTAATA